GAAAAAAATCGACCAGACATCATATTGACGTTAAGCGTAAATTACGTTTAGCAAAACATAATTTACGTTTGGGTTTTTCTGTATGTAGCCATCGGATACCCTCGAGGGGGAAAAAAATATGAAATTCCCTATCTCCCTTGAAATTCTATCGAATTCCAAATTCCTGAGCAGAAAATCATAACTAATTATGAATTTTCAATTACAAGGAGAGAAATATTCAAGAAAAATTACCATAAAAAAGACGTAAAAATTTAAAAAATTTACAACTTCCATAAAAATGACGTGACTTTTTCGTATTTTTTCGGTGACAGACCCGAAAATTTACTGAACGTTTCAGATTTATTCTCTCATATTCCTATAGAAATTCACTGAAAACGATTCTCGCTTGCGGATTACGTGAAATGTTCCGTAATTTTTCTTGAATATTTCTCTCCGTGGAGTTATAATTAATGCTCCACGTGTAAAACGCGCCGCAATCCGTACCCCCCTCTCCCGCCCGACCCGGGATAAAACCGATGAGTGAGAGATGTTCTCCAAAACAAGAAGTTGAGTCGAAAAAACTGAGTGAATTAGAGAGACACACGGTGGAAAAGCAATTTCATCGCAAATGGTAAAGCCTCGGAAAATGGAGATAAAACTTGGCTTTTTCTCCACTGCAACTCCTTTAGATCCTATCGGACAAGATCGGAACTGAAGTAATAGGATCTCCCCCGACGAAGGAAGTGGATAACGAAAATAAAAAAAAAGAGTAAAGAAAAGGGGCAGGAGGAGGGGAGAAATAAAAAGATCCGTCAGATGGACGTCTACGGGTATAAAACTAAAAATAAAACGAAAAAGTGTCGTTGAACGAGATTCCGACACTCGGCCTCGTACAGCGCGGCACTTCGCAAATTGAAATGGCGAAACTTTCGTATCAATTCGATATTTCAACGGCGAGTGAAGAGGGCGAGGGAGATTGCTTCCACCATGGCTTTATACTATTGCACTCCTCTCGCATTTTTCAATTTCCATATTCATTGGATATGCATAAAAATGTCGATTCACTTCGGCTGGAGAATACTGGGCGGAGAGTTGACAAATTCCCCTCGAAATACGTCATGTGAATTCGTTGGACGAATTATTGGCATTAAGATGGCGGTTCATTGATTGGAAGGGGGAATTAAATGGGGTCATTGATGAGGCCTCTTGAGCCCGATGAGGCCGACTTTTTCTACACTGATAGAACGGATTGATTATTGTTAACGAATGGATTTTGAGGAGCCTTGTTTGACTTGACTTTCGCCATTCAAGTGAACCATTCGTTAACTATCAACGAATATTCATTTGGTCATATTCCACTCTACCATTCGTTAATAGTTAACGAATCTCGTTTGGAATAAATGAATCATTCTATCAGTGTATGAGCTGGAGCTTTTCGGATTACAGCGCTGAGGATATCGGATTACTTCGAGATTTTTTTCTCGAAAGAAACCTTTTCGTGAGTAGTGACTGACCTAAACTCGACTGCCCGTACAAAATTTACGCACGGAGAGAAATATTCAGTAAAAATTACGGAACTCTCACTTCACTCACCGATTACGGAATCGACTCAGAAAATTTAAGTGACGGTATCGTAATTTTTCACAGGAGATGCAGATAAAAATCACGGAACGCTCCGGAAAAATTCCCCGACAGTTCCGTAAAATTTCCTACCACCGCATTTCCCTCCGGAATGACGGAAAAGATACGTAATTTTTATTGAATATTTCTCTCCGNCCTGAACCTGAATGCACAGTACATTTTCCCGCCATAAATTCAGGCACGGTAATTAATCCCATCCCTAATTAATGACCATAAATCTCATCATAAAGTCAGGTCCATCGTAAAAAAATCAAATTGCGCTTCTGCCCCGCGAAATTGCCTCAAACCCCGTCGCAAAACCACTCACTCCCCCATAACACCCATCACCCCCCTCTCCCCAACTTGACATTTCCCCCTCCCCTCCCATTAATAAAGATCAGCACGACCATTACGCTTTTATATCCCGCGATCATCGATATGCGCGTAAAAACACCTGACTCACGGCTCAACCCATCTCCGAGTATCAGTACAGTCGAATGACGGGTCATAAATCGACAGCATCTCGCTTTATCCATCGACCCCACTCTCCGAGGTTACTCATCATGCCGCCCCTCCCCCCCCATTCACCGATATCCACCGATATCCTTGACTTTTCCCCGGGCAGTTTGCCCGAAGTGCCCAACACTCTCCCACGATGTGACAGGACATCAACGGCAGATGAGATTGAGGCGGATGACCGAGGGGTTTCGAGTGATCAACGGGGGCTGATAAAACAGGAAGCGGCGAGGATATCGCCGGAGTATTTAATCGACGTATCGAGCGGTAAATTCCAAGGCTGTTTGTAATTTCAATGGGGGAATAAATGCCGCGATGCTGCGATGACGCCATCGTCAAAGGTCTTGAGACCAACAATTTGGTGAAATTCACCAAATAATTTTCTCTTCATTTTCTCTTTCTACTTCATCATTTTTTTCATTCATGTTTTTCTTCTCATTCTTTTACAAAATTTATTCAATTATTGATGTTTAATTTAAATTTTTTAGACTCTTCGACTATTTGAAACGAAAAAAAATAGAATCCGATGGCTGTTGGATACCCTCGAGGGGAAAAAATAATGAATTTCCCATTTCACTTGAAATTCTATCGAATTACAAATTCGTGAACAGAAAATCATAACACATTATGAATTTTCAGTTATGAAAATTTTTTCCAAATACATGAATTCACTAGCGAAGTGGTAAAACGGTTCAAATCGACTTATCTCTCAGTTCAGTTTTTGAAGAATATTCCCGAATCTAAGAGAAAAAGCGAAATTTTCGTAATAACATTTGTTGTAGCCCTCGATCGGCTCTACAAAAAAGGTTATAACAAAAATTTTTCCATCTCCCTTACATTCCGAGATATTCATTAAAAACTGGCAAACAGTCGAAATTGACTTGTACCGTTTTACCACTTCGCTACTGAGGGTTTCAGCTGTTGAAGTCGCGAGAGTCGCGACTGTTAAACCCTCAACAGCTGAAAATCTCAATCCGCACCTATTGGTCGTGTCAAAATTCGCGTGACCTTCAGACTTAACCCCTCACAATCGCTGATAAAACAAGAAGCGGCGAGGATATCAGCGCTTAATCGACGTATCGAGCGGTAAATTCCAAGGCTGTTTCTAATTTCAATGAGGTAATAAATGCCGCGATGCTGCGATGACGCCATCGTCAAAAGGTCTTAAGACCACAACTGGTCACCGGGATACACGCATTGTCCGTGTCACTGACCGAGTAAATAGAATCCACCGAATGGCTGTTAATAATGCCGACGTAATAAGAGATTTTTTACTCTCAAGAGAACGAGGAACCTTTAAGCGGAATGATTAAGAGAATCTTGAGGCAATGCGTTGTTGGGAGACGTAATGTCACCGACACCCCGTCCTTTCACAGTATTTATCTGTTATTTACAACTATTCATTACTATTTTTTTTTCCCTCTCTCTTTGTTTCATTCGTTTTGCGGGATTTTGAGTGTGATTATTGCCCAATCATCGACGAATGATGAGGGCTGATGACTAATTGGGGATTGTGACAGAGGTACGGCGATAAATATGAAGTAATCGGTGGTAAAATATTGTGGCTGATGTGTTTATCATAATGCCGTGGGGGAATGAAAAAATGGGGAATTTGAAAACAATGGCAAGGGGATTTCTTCATTGTGCGCGCGGGCGAGGCCGTTCTTAGACGCTTTCATCGAGGTCGTGGTCGTCACGGTTTACGGTATGATTGTATGTAGTCCCGAATTCCATTCATTTGTCTCGGGTTTATACTCGAATGTGATAACGATTATTCAACGGAACAATCTCGCCCTTGAATCTGGTGTGCGGCGCTCCAGCGGATTTTCAACATTTTCAGATTACGTGTTGGGGATTAATAATTGTTTGTCTCTCCAACAATTGGGTGGAATATTGTCTTTGGGAGAGATAGCAGCGGCTGTGTGGAAATTGAATAGCGGAGAGAGTGGAGAAATTGTGAGCGATACGGATACAGTCATCAGATAGTCTAATCGTTTTATCGTGTGTTCATTTAAGTTTATTTATTATTTCCGTGTTAGGATTTTTCGTCAGGAATTTTCTGGGAATTTCGTCATTAGGAGCTCCCAATGCGCGAGACAGTATTCTCTGGAGAGGAATTAAATTACAGAGAGAACAGAGAAATTTGCTCATGCGGAGCGGAGCAAAAAAAATTTTTTTATTGTTCTTTTGCCCGAAAACGCTTAAAATGCCAAAAACAGTCCAGGGCCTCTAATTTTTGAGCTACGAAGGATTTTTTTTCAAAGTTTTCGAAAAAATATGTGGAATAACAATTACGAGCCAGTTTTTTTTAATTCGCCTCTTAGATGGCTAAATTTGCCTTTTTTGTATTTTTTTACACAAATAGTGAATTTTTTTATATGAAAAAAAAACGAAATCAGCTGTGTAGGAGTCGAATTCCAAAAAACTGGCTCGTAATTGTTGTTCCATACATTTTTCCGGAAATTTTGAAAAAAAAACTGTTTTGTAGCTCAAAAATTGGAGGCCCTGGATTGTTTTTAGCATTTTAAGCGCTTTCGGGCAAACGATCAATAAAAAAAATTGTTTTTTGCACTAATTATTCGCTTTTCGATCTGTATAATCGATCTTCAACGTATGAGAAGTCTCACTCCAATAACCCACGATTTTTAAAACTCACAGTAGTCTCCCCTCAATATGATGTATAAATAAGTTGTGTAAATATGTATCTTTTATAACGACAGTGTAAATAGCTCGGCATGAGAGTTCCCTCGCTATAAAAAATAAATTTAAAAAACAAATTGAAAATTGTGTGGGGAAAATAAATCGATTTAACATTCAATTCTAGAGAATCCAAATGTTGAACATCAGATGATACGTGAGACCATGTCGATGGAGATTGTACTTACATAGCCACAGCAGTGTACGCAGACCCATAGCGCCAAAATTCCTCGACTTCACCTCCTGAAAGCATAATGAAAGCACTGTATTTAGACCCGAATTCACCGGACGTCAATGGACTATTGTCCGGGGCAAATCGCGTTATAAAGTAGGAGAAATGGGGATTCACTTCGGTAATACTCTCTACAGTATTCATTACTGATCTATATTCAACTCATGCACATTACACGGAGAGAAATATTCAATAAAAATTACCAGAAAAAAGACGTAAAAATTACGTTTCGAAACGTAATCTGGGAGCGAAGTAAAATTCAATAAAAAGTGTCAATCGTCACGTAAATTCTACGATCTGTTCCGTAAAAATTACTCATCCGTCCGACGCCTCACGTCTAGCCATGAGTCACCGTGAGGGGGAGATTTTAACAACACGTTCCGTAATTTTTCCGGAACTTTTCGTAAAAATTCTTAAACATCCAAGAATTTTCATGTTCTGAGGCATAATAAGTCTTGAAGTTTCTGTTAGATTTTACAACTTCCAGAAAAATTACGTGACTTTTTCGTATTTTTTCGGTGACAGACCCGAAAATTTACTGAACGTTTCAGATTTATTCTCTTATATTCCTATAGAAATTCACTGAAAACGATTCTCGCTTGCGGATTACGTGAAATGTTCCGTAATTTTTCTTGAATATTTCTCTCCGTGTAGTATATTGAACGGAGTAGGTAATCCCCGTGGGGCGTCAGACCATAGGTACTTATAAGAAGCCCACGGAACTAAGCATTCGGGAGGCCTCGAGCGCTCGGAGCGCGCTGTATCTTATAGAGAAGTATCTTATACGAAGCCTCTACTGTACTCAATTCTGAAAATCGAGTTGTCTCTCGACAACAGCTGTTGGACGGTAATTCACTTGACACCAATCGGTCCCGTTGCCATCGCTTAATATCGAATTATTGATGATCCGCGAAATTCATCAATCGAAGTGAAATCTCTCCATTGATAACAGCGATTCGATTTCAATGGAATTCCTGATCGGATTACACGGTGAGTTCAGTCAAATTCAATTATTCATCCGAAACATGAGAATCGGTGGGGATTGTACGTGTAAAACCAGGGGATTGGGTGAATAATTACGAAAATCGGGTGATGGAAAAATGGATAATGAAATAGTTGAGCTTGAAAGCTCGATTCGGTGGAATTAAAATGCTGAAAAACAAATTTCACGATTCGAAAAATTCGAACGAAAAATAGAGTCTGAATATTCATCGGACCTTTTCATGGGTTAAAAATCAAAAAATGTTTTGAAACAATATTTTGAAATGAACAATTGGGGGGGGGGACAACAATGGGAAGATCCGAAAGAGAGGAAGATCGCTCCGAACTATTCAATTCGATTCAATTTTGGATGGATTACGAATGCCAGTTATTGTCCTCCTTCTCACGCTTTTACTTCAGACGGAGGGGTTACGATGATGGGTGGGCGGTGGGGATACAGAAACATTGTTTTCTCACACACTCGTCGTCAAGCCTGGGCCCCCTGCGGTTCACCAGACAGGAGGACAGACTATTATCAGAGTAGATGAGCTCAACTTTCAATCCATGAGGAATAAATACGACGAAATGTCTCACCACTTGCTGTCATTGGAATGGAACATGAAAAAAACTGTCCGATGGTGATGTATTTCACGAGAGGAAACATCGCCTGCGATACTGTAGATATGGAGTGTCTCATAAATCATCGATAATCATTGATCGACAGTCATGAATAATCAGCATTACGCGGATTGCGTTTTGAATGCAGAAATCAACAAAAACTGAAAATTTTAGTTTAATTATTGCACCGTGAGAAAAATTCAATAAAAATTATCAGAAAAAAGCGTAAAAATTACGTTTTAAAACGCAATCCGCGAGCGGAGTAAAATTCAATAGAAAGTGTGAGTCGGAACTGAAATTGTACGAATCGCCACGTAAATTCTACGATTTGTTCCGTAAAAATTAATCACCCGTCTGATGACTCACCGCTGTGGGGACAACAAGTCATTCCGTAATTTATCCCCAACGAATGAGAAATTTTACGGAAAGAAACGTAGAAATAACTCAACAGGTTCATAAAAATTGTTGAACGTTCAAGAATTCTAGATTTTGGGGGCACAATAAGTCGCCAAGTTTCTGTAAAATTTTACTTCTCCGGGAAAAATTACGTGACAATTTTGTACTTTATTCGGTGATGAACCTGAGAATTCACTGAATGTTTCAGATTTCTTCTCTTCCATTCCCATAAAAATTGCCGGATAACGATTCCCCATTGCGGATTACGTGAATTGTTCCCTAATTTTTACTGAATATTTCTCTCCGCGTGCATGAAAATTAACATAAAACCGTAGAATTTCGGCAAACATGCTCTTGAATTTCCAATTAATTAAAAATCCAGTGTAATTGAGCACTGAAAATGGTGGTTTCATTGAAAATTCAAATAAATTGCGTTCAGTGAAATCTAAAATTCCATCATTTTCCCCCCTAAATCAAATTCACAGGCACTTTCCTAAAAATTACTAGTCGACTGTCCATGAACTTTCAATTTTTTCCAACGGCGTAGTGTCTTAAACGAAAATGCCCCGAAGACACTATTTTTCCAGTGATTTAAAAACCGTAAACACAGTTATGAACCAGTTTTCCTTTCGCACTTCGGAGAGAATTCCGCTGAACTTTCCCGTGCACTCACCCCAGAAGTATACCCATCTTCATGGCAATTAAATATTCAACAGTCGGTCGAGTTCAAGTAGTCGTGCACAGAGGCATCCCCGCGGAGTCAAGACGACTCTCGTCCCGATAAACCGGATATTTGCACTGAGCTAGAAGCAACTTGTCCACAAATGGTGATTGTTTACCCGGAATTGAATGTAATTTATTCAAATATTCGTCGGCGGTTTTCCGATGACGTGAATCGATAAATCAAACTGAAAAATAATGTTTTTAGACAAAAAAAAGGGAAAGGATTCCCCATCCGACGATTCGATGATTTCATTGTTTATTTCTGCCGAAATTTAGTTCTCCATTCTGAAACGTTGGGAAACATTTTAGAAATAAAAGAATAAAGAAAAGGGACTGTACCATTACCCCAACGAGGTCGCCAATCGGATGCACCCAGTCCAATAATAATTCCCAATTGATCACTAATTGATGACTCTTGCAAAATTCACCGGTCAAAGGGGGATCATTAGCGATCCGTTAGGAAACATTTAATCCCTCCGCATCATAGCAACACTGGGAAACAATTATTTTCGCCAAATATTCATTTACTTGAGAGAAGCATTTATTTTTTCAAAATCGTGTATCTCCAATCGAGTCATTCCAAGACGAGCCTAATTAGCTTTCAATTCTGACAGTCATAGTGCTCTAGACTCTAGAGGATGACTATGTTGCATATGACCTTGGATGAACTCCTCCAATGATTATTCATTTTTCCTGAATTTTTCATTCTTTAGAGAGAATTTCGATTAATTTTTTAATGTTGGTAATTACTGAAGGAGTTCGCTTAAGGTCATAACTAACATGATCATCTTCTAGAGCAGTATAATTGTCATAATTGAAGCCAATGAATAACTCGACTAGAGAGTACGGTACTGAAGAAATAAATCAGCAGCGAAGCGGTAAAACGGTACAAGTCAATTTTGACTATTGACCAGTTTTCAATGAATATCTTGGAATCTAAGGAAGATAGCAATATTTTTGTTATAACCTTTTTTGTAGAGTCGATTGAGCGCTACAATAAATGTAATAATGAAAATTTCGCTATCTCCCTTAGATTTGGAAATATTCCTCAAAAACTCAACTGGGAGATGAGTCGACTTAAACCGTTTTACCATTTCGCTAATACTTCTCGCAAGTAAATGGATATTTAGCAAAAATAATTTTTTCCTCCGTGGAGAGGAACTGAGGATGATTCAGGAGTATTAAAACACGAAGAGAATGAATTAATCAACATTTAGCGATTCTTCATTCGAAATGAATGAATTATTTATTTCATACCATTGAAACATTTTCAGTGAAATAAAATACGAGTTTATGAATTCCCAACAGAAATACTCAATCGCAAGATTCTCCATTAGGAAATGAGGATGAGTATTAGTGGTCGGAACTGACGAAACGACCCCCGAGCCGCGAAATTAATCGAAAATACCGCGATTGGGGGAAGAGGAGAAAGGAAAAGTGTAAATTTTAGTTTAATTATTGCCTGACAATTAATATAAATCCGTAGAATTTTTGTAAATATACTCTTGATTATCCAATTAATTAAAAATTCAGTGTAATTCAGCACTGAAATCGATGCTGAAAAATTTAGAATTTCATGGAATTTTCTGTGAAATCTTAAATTTCATCATTTCTCCTCCTAAATCAAATTCAATGGCATTTTCCTGAAAATTACTAGTTGACTTTAATTATTTCCCAACACTGTTGTGTCTTAAATGAAAATGCCACACCTAGTTTTCCCAGTGATTTTAAAATGACGAAGAGAATGAATTTATCAACATTTAACGATTCTTCATTCGAGATTAATGAATTATTTATTTCATTGAAGTAAAAAACACGAGTTTACGAATTCCCAACAGAAATACTCAATCGCAAGATTCTCCATTAGGAAATGAGGATGAGTATTAGTGGTCGGAACTGACGAAACGGCCCCCGAGCCGCGAAATTAATCGAAAATAGCGTGATTGGAGGGCAGAGGAGAGAGGAAAAATCCCATAATTTGAGTGAAAGCTTGTCACAGGGAAGAGTTTGCACGCGTTTGTCAGTAAAACCGCAAACTATGCCGCCTGTCGTTGGGTAAAAAAAATATTGTTACGATTGTTTCCGCGAAATTGTCGACAAAGTTGAATCAATTTGAGCGGTTGTGGATGAAAATGCTACGCTGAAAAAAATAATTGACGAATGTTCTCACGCATTTTCGGTGAATTCTGCTGCACTAGACTGAGAGAAGAAATCATCATTAATGAGTTCCTTATGCGGAGGCATTCGTTCATTCATAATCCACGCACGAGTCGACTATTACAAACGTAACGGA